CGATAAAATAGAGCTTCTCTCATGTGTGTATTTTATTAAATATACTCTCTATATAAAATAAAATATAATAAAAATACTTTAATGAATAATTTAAATAAAAAAATAAAACATATAACAAATTTCACCTTATTAAATTTTACTAATTTAAAAAAAATTAAATTAACTGCTACTCCCTCTTATCTTCATTCCTACCCTAAAATATTAAGATTTATGGAATTTTACCTATTCCAAACTCTAACATACAAGCTAATTAATAACTAAGATAGATTATCAATCAGTATAATTTTGCTCCATTCATTCTTATTCCAAACAAAAGGAATATTTAAAGATTATTTGTCATTCACAAACCTTTTCCGCGTCACCATCACTCACTATTATCTGTATTAGTTCTTAGATAAACATTTCCATTTGTTGCTTACACGCAATGCCATTTCTCGTAAACTATAGTTCACTACTCTACACTGTTTTTTTACTCATAAAGTCTCTTCCTTTATCCTAAAAGTCTCTCCACTTCAAAAATAAACAAACTCATAAAGTAGACACCACAAACAAAAAGTTACAGAGAGCCATTGTTTATTCTAAACCAGGGGTAAAGTTTTTCTTCACCTTTTAACTTGGAATCTTCACTAGTATTTTTTTTTCATTTCCCATGATGTTTCCTTGTGTCTACGTTGAAGAAGTTATTCAAATTATGGATGGGCTTGAATCAGTTTTGAAGAAAATGATTTAATTAAAAATATAAATAAAAATCAATCTAGTTTGAATTAAATCAGATTCTTTTATACATTTCTAAAATCACAAGTAATTTTTTTATTAAAATCAAATTTGTCCAAAGTAAAATTACTCTGTACGATATAGTTAAAAAACGAAAACACCCTTAAAAACAACATTTACTTCATGGATTACAGAATTCATTGACTCTTACTATATTTTTTTCATGTGTAAAGGAAGTTATATAATTAATGTTAGGTAGATAGTAGTGGGATTATTCCGGTAGTTCACGAATCCACATCAATTAGAGTATTTACGATATTGAAAATTTTGGTATATTTTATTGATGATTTATATTTTGGTATATTCGTAAACTTCTTATAAATTAAAAATTAAGGTGAATGATAGTTTATATATTTTTTTTAATTCTAAAATATTTTTTATAAATAAAATTATGATAAATAAAAATTATAAATAAAATAATTATTATATCTTAATGATATTATCATAGATATATCACGTATAACTTACTAAAAAATGTTGATAAAATATTTAAGTAAAATATTAATCACTTGAAATAAAAAGAATATAGATCAGATATATCTAATATAAAATAACGAGAGTATTGACAAAATATTTAAGTAAAATATTAATTAATCGAAATAATTTTTTAAAATTATTTTTATTAAAAAAAATTATTAATAAATTACATAAAAATAATATAATATAATAATTTTATATTTTATATTTATTCCATTAAAAATTTCTAGTAAAAGTGACGTCGATCGCAGTATCCCGAGCATTAAAATTTGATGTACTAGGAAACTGTTGTTGAATTTACATGCAAAACTAAGTCTTTATTTTCATTGACTTGTTCATCTAAGATACAAAAATCATTGACGTGCGCGACACTCCAAGGAATTTACAATTTCATTCTTGAAATTGATTAAAGAAAAAGAAACATCCGACAGAAAATTCAGCGTAAATTGCCAAGAAAATTCGCAGAAACTATACATACCAAAACCGAAGACTGCGGCTATCACGAAGTAAACGCACTAAAGGAAAAATAAAAATAAATTTAAAGTCTCTGGATAAAATATGTATAATTTCATTATTTTATAAATAAAAATATTTACAGCAATTCACGTTCTACCTTTATAACATTCTTTTATATAACTTAATGGAACTTTTATATCTGAACTTTATTTCTTAATATTGAAGTCTAATAATAAACTATATCGAAGTTTTTATTCTCTCATAAATTAAAATGCTAACCATTTATATGTGTTCCAAAATGTGTTTAATTTTTTCCTTAAGAAAATTAAAAAGGTAGTGAGAAAACTTAATGATTAAAGTTTCCTATTATGAACACATCAGAGTTAGGTGTGTCCAGACACACAATATGAATATATCTGCGTACACATTACTCTGAAAGTTACCACCACAAATCAATGCATTCATATTCATTTCGGCCAAATCTTATTCGATCCAGGTTTTTTTTTCCGGTATTCTATAATGATTTACTTCTTTTGGTTATGAGAATTTTAGAAGAAGAAAATGGAGGGAAGTTAGAGAGAATGGAAAAGAAAAATAAGAATAGAGAATACTGTTACTAGCTAGATTAGATATAAAAATTCAATTGTGAATAGTAAGAAAATATTTATTATATTTAATTTATATTACTATTTTCTTAAAAATAAATCAATTTTATAATATATAAAGCTTAATTTTTCTAGTTAAATTTAATTTTTATGTAATATTAAAGTTGTTTTATGTTAAGTATTTTATTTTCACATATTTAAATAAGTGGAGATTTTTTTTGGTTATGAAAAATTTAGAAGAAGAAAATGGAGGAAAGAAAGCCAGAGAGAATGGGAAAGAAAAATAAGAAAACATAATCTTGTTATTAATTAGATTAGATGTAAAAATTCAATTGTGAATAGTATGAAAATGTGTATTATATTTAATTTATATTTTTTAAGTAATATCATTGTTTTAAGTTAAGTATTTTATTTTCACTTATTTAAATAAATGAAGATTTTATTTCATAAATAATGTGTATTGTTAGAGATAATTAGAAAGATAACAATTTTATCTTTCACTATTTTTTTAATATATATATATATATATATATATATATATATAATTAAATTTTCTATTTTTATTTTTATTTTATTTATAGAAACAATATATTTCTTTCTTTTTTCTATTTATGTTTTGTTTACTTCTAATCATTTATTATAATAGATGATTTGAAAAAGAGGATTTGTAGGAATAGAGGATAATATGTTTGTGCTGATTTAAGTGGATTTAGATGATAAAAAAGTGGGTCTCACATTTTTCTTAAATGGTGAGAAAATAGATAGTTATATAATAAATATCTGAATTATTTTCTTTAACTTTTCTCATTTGCCAAATATCTTATTCTATCTCATAAAAATGATTTAATTATTACACTAAAAATACTATTATTCAATTATCTTATATTCAATCATCACTTACAATAAATTTATTATCTTTCCCTTAATCAAATAATCTCACAAATCTACTTAAATTACCTCAAATTAATTCCTTTAAATCTTCATCCTAATTTAAAGATAAGTTTAATTTCTTTATGCAATAAGTTTAATCAATCAATACTTGATAAGATATGTCAACCATAATCATAAATTTAAATAATAAACTTTCTGGTCACATAAGATAAAAAAATTGTATTAAAGAACAACACTAATATTTAAATATGAGATTTTTTTATATCTGCTAATATCTCAATCAAATAACGTTCACATTTTTTTCATATACCATGGCATAAAGAACTTTTTTATTTTAATCGTTTTTGTATCATCAATCATAAACTAATATTTTTTTATTAAATAAAATATTATTTTTTATTATATTATTTATAAAAACGATAAATAATATAGGAATAAATAGTTATTATAATATTATCTATTTAAAATGAAGGAAGAGAAAAATGTGATACATAGCCAGAATGAAAAAAAAATAACATTTTGTATAAAAAGTTAAAAGAAAAAAATTATAAAGAGAATAAAAATTTTAAAAATATTTTTACGCAAAATATTAGTATAAAAATATTGAAACATTTTTGTTTTCACTAATATTTAATATCTTCACATAAAATTAATCGTATCACTAAAAAAATACATGAATCATTTCGATGTTAATATCTAAATATTATGTGAATCCAATGAAAAAATACATTAATAAATTATATATATTAATCATTAGCTTGTATACAATACATTACGTTTGTATTTACGTTAAATTATTCATGTTATAATAAACATGTAGTTATTATTAATATATTATAAAAATATTAAAATTTAATTTAAAAATAAAGATCATATATATGTTAAAACAAACAAGAAATTAATAAAATCTTATCCTTAAAAAAAATCCTAAAGTTATTCCTTCAACAACTACTACAAATGCTATCATTTAATATATAATTATTCTAACTATAAATTTCTTAAACTCTTGCGAGATCCAACATTTTTTTTTATAAATATATTTCGCATATATTTTTATAAAAAAATGTCTGGTATCTTAACATATCAAACATCATTTTCTATTTTTTTTATATACCTGATTAATTTTTATCCATTTTAAATTAAAAATAACATGAAATAATATTATAATTTAAGTTTTTCATTATACATACAAAATATATTTTTTCTTTATAGTTAGTGAAAAACGCAAATATTTTAGTAGTTATATATATATATATATATTGTATAATTAATTTTTTTAAATATTATTTTATTTTTTTACTCTTTAAATATATTTTTATTTTTTAAATATATAAATCATAATAAATGTTTAATATTTTTTATTTTTTTCTCTTCAATAATACCAAAAGAATGGTTAAAAAAACTATTTATATATATAGTTATAGATAAATATTTATTATGAATTTTAATTATAATATTAATAATATAATTTTTTTAAAAATGTTACCCTGAAATTAATAAAAATAGAAAAATAAGCATATGTAACTAACCGTTCCATTTTTTTTTAATAAATTTTAAATTTAAATATTATTTATTTATCTTTAAATCAGGATCAAATGAGATAAACAAAATCAAAACCACTCACCTATAGTATTACCATTGTTAATTAGTTTTTGCACATACTATATATAAATACATAGAGCTACCCAAAAGCAATGCGGCTGCATAATTATTCACGCCAGAAACGTTGTCTTCCCACATGTTCTGCGTTCATAGCCCATTCTCTTGTTCTTACAATCAATAATAAGGTGGGTAGTGATGGAACAGAAACACGTGTTTGCATTGAGTGTCGGAGTTGGATTGGGGGTGGGACTTGGATTGAGCACAGGTCAGGCTGTTCAAAAATGGGTGAGAGGAAGCTGTGAGTCTGATGAGATTTCTGGGGAGCAAATTGTGCTGGAGCTCAACAATAAAGTCATTGAAGGGAAGAACAGTAAAACCACATTTAGTGACTTTCCTTATTACTTAAGGTAATTTATAGACTCAAACATTATCAGAGTTTTAATTTTTTAAAACTGAATTCTAGTGTATTTGCATTTCTTATTAAAATAATCCTGACGGGTCAACGTGTTTTCAAGACATGAAATAGTTTCATGTTACACTTGTGAATATCATGGAAATTTGCTGTGGATCTCGTAGTAAATGTGTTTTCTGGCTTCCTTATATGGTTCATCTCTCATATCTTTTCTCAGATTGTTTGTCGTTGACTTCACCTCAACACCACTGCTTTCTCAAACTCAATCTTTCTTTGACATTCTGTTGACACTTCTGTCTGGCTTCTCAGTGTAAAGTTATTTTGAGTATTTACTAAGACATCGATTAGAAGATGCAAGTAAACGCTGTTATCCCCACAAGTTTAGGACTCTAAATATACACAAAAGAATGAATATGAGAGTAGAAATTCATTTGCTGGGGTTATTTCCCAATTAAAGGACATTTTGATTGAATGCCAGGTCTTACTGTGTTATGACACTTTTTTCTAGTTTAGTCATGGTTTAGGTTAAGCATTTCATTCCAGATACCAGCTTGAACTCTTAAAAGAAGACGGAAACTTTTCTAGTTGAACTTTACTATAATTTGTGTCTTTTTGCAATTAGTACTTCGTTTCATGGAACTTATAAACTGTGATTTGAATAACCCTGTGTATTGAAAGCCATATAAGTCATACCAGCTAACATGCAAGGGAGAAATTTAGCATAGTATCAAACTATTGCGTCTGAAGGTCTAGAATTTATACTTACTGAACAGTGCAGTGCTATTGGAATATGTGGTTTCCTTCATCAAGATATACCCAACTTCATAGACCCAAAAAAATTTATGTTATCACACATTCAGCAGTTTTTGTTTGTAGCATGTCATGCAGCCTTTTATCATAGATAATTTCTTCCATATGTTTTAATGCTCTTATGTGGTCTAGTTCACTGGTAGGTAAGTTGTTATATACCAAATTTTAAGGATTTCCTTAGTATAAAATTATGATAAATAATTATTAACTACTGAAAAAAAAAATCCTTTTATGTTTTATGGTGCATCTTGTTTTCTGTTGGACTCAAACTCCGGCTTCTTAATTTTTGGTCTTATTAGTTTCCAACAATTGTACACTACCTAGATCAGTCACCTTTTTCTAGGTACTAAATGAGTTTTTAATAAAAATAAGTAAGCTTAACAACACTCTAATTAACTGAACTTGGGCCAATCTTCAGCATAGATCTCCATATTTGAACCTAAATCCTGTTACAGGTTTGATCTAGCCATGGAGGAATTTGATAACATTTTCCATATTCATACATTTGTCATGAAAAACTTCCCGCTGATTGTACCACGTCTCATGTTTCTGTATGATGTTTAAAATGACAGTGAAAGAGTCCGATTTTCGTTAACGAGTGCGGGATATGTTTATTTAAAACAAGACTTTTCCAAGCACATGAGGAACCTATGTCCAGCAAGCAGAGCTATTTTACTTTCTGGACCTGCAGGTATATTACTTACATGTTCTGTCTTCCCATCCAAAGGTGATTTTGGTTTTCAAATCCATATGATTGACAGTATTGCATTTTGCATTTTGAAGAACTCTATCAGCAAAAGCTTGCCCAAGCTTTAGCTCATTACTTTGGATCGAAGTTACTGTTGCTAGACATTACTGACTTCTCGTTGGAGGTACTTATTTTACATCTTTTCACTTTGATTTAAATTATCACGTATATAGTCATACCAGTCATGTTTTCCTTTGTACAGATGCAGAGGAAATATGGATGTCGCAGAAAAGAACCAGTAAGTTTTGTCTGCTCCAATTTTGCTTCTGCTTGAAGATATTTCACTATTTATTTACCCTGCTTTAATCTATTTTTGCACTTTGTAGTTCCTTGAATGTATATTATAAATTTATTTATTGAATTTAGATGATTGTGACCATTTCTTTGGTGAACTGTTTTTTAATGGGTTATGTTTAACTTCCCTGAACTGTTGCTCCTTTATTGGTGGCTTAATTTAATATTTGCTCTTGAAAAGAACAGTGCAAACATTTAATTTTGGCTTGTAGTGTGAGTTTTCTAACTCATGTACTTATATTTGCAGTATTTTAAAAGGTCCGTTTCTGAGGTGACTTTGGAGCGAGTCTCTGGTTTGTTTGGGTCCTTGTCAATCCTTCCTTCAATTGGCAGAACCAGAGGTACTGGAGGAAGTTGTACTTGAGCTGTTTGAAAATGTTATTCTTATTTTATGATTACTTTTTATGAAGTTTAGTTTAGTCATCATGAAGTAAAAATAATGCATTATTTGAAATGTACCAATTGATTTTATTTTATTTTTTTACTTTTGCTGTCAATATCTCAATAAGCAACGCTCATAGTCAAGACATCATAAAAGGTCATTAGTTCTTATATGATCTATGTCAGCTCTCATGTTCCTGAATTTGCATTGATTGATTATATCTTCCAGTTCTTACCCTTTACCTTGATGGTGCTAACTTCACCTATTTAACTATTATTTCACTCTATCTTGAATTGTAATTTCTTCGCAGGTACACTAATTCGACAGAATAGTGAAATTGAAAATCCCCGCAATCCTTTGAAACTTTGTAGGAATTCCTCTACTGCATGTGATACGATTAGTTCTTCTCAACGTGAATCAGATCCAGGTTGTACATGAAGGAAAACTCTCTTGGTTGTTATCTTCAACACTTATTTTCCATAACTATATTCACATCTAAAACCATCTAGAACTTTAAATTACCTTGTTACACAAGTTCTTGGGCCTGCTATCCTTCCCATTGTTGGGTTCTAGCGTCTTTCTTTTAATTCTCTACTGTAGTGTTTCCATGTGTGCTACAGTAGTGCTCTGTGTGCCTTCTTACAATATGGTGCATTGATTTGTAATTATTTGATTACTTCATCCGTTTTAGCTATTCAGTAAGATTCTCTTAGCAGTCTTATACTTGTGACATGAACTAATTTCAAAAGTAAAAAATTATTGTGTTAAATCCATTAAAGTTCAGTCAGATAAGTAATTTATGCTTCATTTTATACCTGCTTATGCATGAGATGACATTGTTCTTCAGCAATATTACGCTCATTCTTTTAGTTCATGTTTTCAGCTCTTTTGAAGTGGACAAGCGGCTTCTGTTTTGATGAAAAGATCTTCGTGCAGTCACTTTATAAGGCGAGTTCATCACTAAAAACTTATTTTTGAAGTTCAAATTTGTATTGCTTCAAAAGATAAATTGTCCTGTTGACAAAATTTCAGTGAGATGATATTATGAATAATGAAATTATATGTAGCTATCTTCACCCCAGCCCATGTCTCTCAAATCCTCCTTTTCTCTGCTCTTGGTCAATTACTCATAATTCTCTTTAAATTTTTTGTATTGAAAATATTAATTAATCTTACAGTTTCATGATATATCTGTCATAAGTACTGTTCTAACAAGCAGACTTGTGTTGACTTTTCAGGTCTTGGTTTCTATCTCAGAAACCAGTTCCATTATTTTATACATCAAGGATGTTGAGAAGATCTTTGTTCGATCACCAAGGCTACACAATTTGTTCCAAAAATTCATAAAGAAACTTTCAGGATCAGTGTTAATACTCGGTTCCCAGATATTTGATTCTGAAGATGATACAGAAATTGATGACAAGCTCACAATGTTATTCCCTTACACTATTGAGATCCAACCACCTCAGGATGAAATCTATCTTGCAAGCTGGAAAACCAAACTGAAAGAGGACATGAAAACAATTCTGTTTCAAGATAGCAGAAACCACATTGCAGAAGTACTTGCAGCAAGTGACATTGATTGTGATGACTTGAATTCAGTCTGCCATGCTGACACTATGCTACTCAGTAATTGCATTGAAGAGATTGTGGCATCTGCAGTTTCTCACCACCTCATGGTGACTAAAGATCCAGAATACAAAAATGGAAAATTAGTTATATCAGCCAAAAGGTAAATATCCTGACAATTTTTTTTAAGGTTATTTATTAAGAGAGAGTTTTCTAGTTACTAATATTTGATTGGGGCAGTTTGTCCCATGTATTGAGTTTGTTCCAGGAAAGTGAAAGTAATTCGGAGACTAAAGATTCAAACAAGGTTTGTGACCTATTTTATCAGTTATAAAATAGGGGATCATCACATGAATAACTGCAGAAAAAAAATAATTATACAATTGTTACTATATACTCAATTGACAAAAAATTTATTCGTAACCTGTTTACTTCATTGTTATGACTATGTTCCCGTAACACAGAAAGATGGCAACAGAATTGCTCCTGTAAAGGTGAATGATTTGTATACTAAAAACAAATAGATTGTTTTTCTTTCTTTTTGGTTTTAGGCCAACTTATTAGACACCTTCTGAACCCCATCTAACTAAAAGAAGAGAATATATTAACAATTCTAATACATACTTTCATCAATTAGCAATTGTTATTGGTTTCAATACGGATGATACTTGTTTCTGCATTTTCCACCAATTTTATTATCATAGACTGAATGTTACATGCTTTTGTAGACTTAGTTTAACGAGTATAACATGATGCACCTTGTGATATACACTTATATTTTATGTTTTCCATATTTTTTATTCATGTTAAAAAATGAACTTTGCATGCTTCAGGAAGTTTCTTCGGACAACGAGTATGAGAAGCGCATGAGAGCAGAAGTTGTGCCTGCAAAAGAGATAGGAGTTAGATTTGAAGATATTGGTGCATTGGATGATATCAAAGAATTACTTCAAAATGAGGTCCTGCTACCCTTCAAAAGACCAGAATTATTTAAAGGTGGGCTTTTGAAGCCTTATAAAGGTATATTGCTTTTTGGGCCTCCTGGTACAGGAAAAACAATGCTTGCAAAAGCAATTGCAAATGAAGCTGGAGCAAGTTTCATTAATGTCTCAATCTCGAACATCACTTCAAAGTGGTTTGGAGAAGATGAAAAGAATGTCCGAGCTCTGTTTTCACTAGCAGCAAAGGTTGCTCCAACTATTATTTTTATTGACGAGGTTGATAGCATGCTTGGGCAGCGGACTCAATCTGGAGAGCATGAGGCAATGAGAAAGATTAAAAATGAATTCATGGTCCACTGGGATGGGCTATTGTCAAAACCTGGTAAGCGAATTCTGGTTCTTGCTGCGACAAACAGGCCATATGACCTTGATGAAGCGATTATAAGACGGTTTGAGCGCAGGTTAGACCACACTTGTCCTATGGTTGGAATGACATCCTCATATATTGATTACTTGTTTCTGTTCAGTTTCTATTATTTCTACATACATGAGAAACAACGACATACATTATTTTCATCAGCTGTTGTGAATAGTTGGGTGCTCATAAGAAAACAAGAAAATGTGGAACAAATATTTCATTAAATGCTTCTTGATAAACTGTTCCAAAAATCTTTTGCAAATACTTTAAATTGTTAATTAAATTTATTTGTTACATAGTTGCTCACTAGATTGAGTTTACCTGACTTCTTCCTTGGATGAATAAAACATTGCCATATAATTGCACAGTTTAGTTTCTAGATGGATGTAATGTAAGCTATTTTTTTAATATCTGTGAATGATATATATCTGTTGATCACGTCGTTAAGCAGGATCATGGTTGGTATTCCATCTGCTGAGAACAGGGAAATGATCTTGAAAACAATCCTAGCTCAGGAAAAATGTGAAAATATTGACTTTAAAGAGCTTTCAATCATGACAGAAGGATATACTGGAAGTGATCTTAAGGTTCATTTTGTTGGTTATTCTAATTCCTTATTTCTAGTTTGTGGTGATAATATATTATTGATATTTATTTCTGCTAACAGAATTTGTGCACGGCTGCTGCTTATCGACCTGTTAGAGAGCTACTACAACAGGAGAGGTTGAAGGAAAAAGTGATTACCTAATCTCTTCAAATAATGTGAACCATAAATGGATATCGATGTAATGCAAATATTATTAGTTTTCTGTATTGCTAAGCTATAACTATTTTTGTTTTATTTCAGGAAAAGAAGGAAAAGGAGGGAGAAGTTCAAGGCTCAGAAAATGCTTCTGATGCTAAAGAAGATGAAAAACACCAAGTCATTACATTGAGGCCTTTAATCATGGAAGACATGAGACAGGCAAAGAGTCAGGTATGTGGAATGGAAAATACTTCACTTCAATGACTAGAGTGTACTTCATTTTGGGGCTCAATGATAGCTAACTTTCTTAACAACAAATAATTCTAAAATTATTGAAGGAAATTCAAGAACAAATACCTGATATTTGGGTAAATGACATTGGGTTGAGGATATTATATAGGTGAGAAGTTATATCAGATACGAGCCATAAGACATTCACCTTGAGTTTTCTTTTAACCCTCCATTCCATTCGTCAATGACCATTGCACCATTGTCTATTTCTTACCATGTTTCTTTGTAAGAAAAAATTCACTTATTACCCAAGGGTTCAAGATGACCACACATCCAGATTAGATACCGATACAAGGTTAATATGCTCATGACTTCTATGCCATTGTAATTGATAAATGTACATGTGAATGCAGGTGAATGCTAGCTTTGCAGCAGAAGGATCAATAATGAGTGAGCTGGAGGAGTGGAATGATTTATTTGGAGAAGGAGCTTCAAGGAAGAAGCAGCAGGAGCAGCTTACTTATTTTATTTAGATTGTGGAAAGCTGGTTTTGTTATGGACACGTCAGTATAAATCACCAAAGGATACCTTTAATCAGGGAAGCAATCATCAGCCGAGCAGAGATATTGAACTAAAAGTACAAAGTATGCTCAAATCAGAAGTTTAAGAGATTTATTCATCCCTGAAGTGCTATCTGGGTCCAAAGAATGTGTAGATCATCATGTTTGGGAGCGGGTGCTCAGTTATGGTTTGCATTGTCTGCAAACTAGTGGCAACATGTATTTTAGTACACGCCGTGTTGTCCTGAAATTTGAACACTCTATTTTTAGTGACGATGATAGTTTTAGGGTTCAGCATAAGAAAGCGGATGGTTTCTGTGATTTAATTTCTCTTTTGATGGGAAAAATAAGTTCTTATTTGTGTCGATTTTTGTATAAAAAATTTATAAATCAAATTCATGTATAACATTAAATTTGTCTAAGATTTGGATAGATGTCAACTTTTCTGTGCAATATGTTTCCTTTTTTTTTTTTTTCTGCATTGAAATTAAAGGAAATAAATACTGTGCGTGTTTATATTACAAGGGAATGAAATGTTTATACAACACAAAACACTGTGCGTGTTTAGATTCACGTGCCGTGTGAACTTTAAGAGATGTTTCATGTGTAGTCTCACGTTGAAAACCATGTCTTTAGATGTTCTGTCAGATTGACATGAAAGACATCAATTTTATTCGTGAGAGTTTCGCTTGGTACGTAGATAATTTTAAGTTAAAATAAATTTTATTCATAGAGTTTCGCTTGTGTAAATTTGATATGTAACACAGGTACGTAGATAATTTTAAGTTAAAATAAATTTAAATCATTTATATTTGTGTTTTATTTTCTCCCACACGTTCATCACCAAAGAACTTATAAGATGTGATTTCATTATCCGATGCACACAATTTACACATCTTAGATATTGTTTAGATATAATTTGATATTGTGAAAATATTATTAGATATTGTTAACCACAATATCAAACAATATTTTCTGTTTATTCTGTTTACTTTCGGTTACTCTTTTAGTTATACCTCTCTATTATAAATAGATTATCTTATGTGTGATTTATACACAAGGGAGATTAATTTCAAACTATATTTCCTCTATATTCAACATGGTATCTAGAGCTTAAGGTTATCTTGAATGTCTTTTGTCCACTGTTGGAGCTGCCCCACCGCTGCGAGAGCCGCCCCACCGCTGTTGGTAAACTGATCCTCCAAATAAGAAAAGAATTATCTTTGTTACTAAATTTTATTTGGTAGTGTAAAAATGCATGTCTAGGAAAGTTCTGGCAAGAAAAAATTTGGTATTTAAGTGTGTCCATTAGTGACCCACCTCTCTTTCCTGGGAACTTACCTGGTGTACTGGTTCACGTTGCTGTCACCGTTGCCGCTGGATAGAGCAGTCACCGGATCCGCCGCTGCTAGAGAATTCGCCAGAGTTTCATTTTTTGACGGGTGACATATGATTTTACTTGTCTCGGTCAGGTGACCACCGTGTCATTAAAATCACTACTATCGGAGTTGGTCGTCCCGTTGTCTCCTGCGTCGTTTAGTCTTGGTGAACTTATTTTTAGTATTCTCATTTTGTATTTATGCTTCGTGGGTTGATTGGATTACTTTGGATTGTTTTAGGGTTTGTTCTCCCGTTCTTCATGACTTCTTCCACTTCTTCTACTATTTCCAATTTTGTTAATGATTCTTTTGTGTTGACATCCCATCGTGATGACCGGACTCGCCCTCGCAAACAGGAAAAAGGGTGTCCTAAGTGTGAACATTGTGACAAACTAGGTCACAAGATTAACAAGTGTTATGCATTACATGGTCGTCCTCCTCGATCTGCTGCAGTTGTTCAGACCAATTTTTCCCCACCTTTATCTGCTGGGGATCCTCCTTCTTCTATTGCATCCGACATGCCTGCTATGTTCAACAAATTTCTCAAATAGTATAAGGATCAACAATATTCTAGTTCCACTATATCGGTCACACATACAAATACATATTTTGCTGGTCTGACCAATCCTTTTCTCCTGGTCCTTGGTTTTTGATTCAGGAGCCACTGATCATATTATTGGTAATAAATCTTTGTTCTCCTCTTTATCCTCTCCTAATCATTTACCTTCTGTTACACTGGATGATGGCTCTAGAGTATCATCTCATGGTGTTGGAACGGTTAAACTTTTTCCTTCTTTAACCATTGATAATGTTCTTTATGTCCCTGGGTCTCCTTTTAACCTGTTGTCCATCAGTCATTTAACTCGTTCTCTTGATTGTGTTGTTACTTTTACCAACAATTTTGTTTGTTTACAGGACCAAAGTTTGAAACAGGTGATAGACACAAGATGTGAGTCTCATGGTCTTTATTATCTCCGTCCCTCTACACATGTTAGTACAGTTATGGAGTCTCCTTTTCTTCTTCATGCTCAATTAGGTCATTCAAGTCTTGCCAAGTTACAAAAGTTTATCCCTGTCTTGCCAACTTATCTAGTTTGGCTTGTGAGTCATGTCAATTAGGCAAACATAGTCGTATTTCCTTTTCTCGTAGTTTCACACGTGGTGCTTCGTCCCCTTTTGTCGTGGTTCACTCTAACATTTGGGGACCTAGCCGCGTTAAGTCTACTTTAGGTTTTCAATACTTTGTTACTTTCATTGATGATTATTCCAGATGCACTTGGTTATTTTTGATGAAAAATTGTTTTGAATTATTTCATATCTTTCAAACTTTTTTTAATGAAATTCGAACTCAGTTCGGTGTTTCTATTAGAGTTTTGCATAGTGATAATGACTGTGGATATCTTTCTCATTCTTTTAAACAATTCATGGTTTCTCACGATATTTTGCATCAAACTTCTTGTGCTTATACACCTCAACAAAATAGTGTAGTTGAACGTAAAAATATACATCTTATTGAAACAACTCGCACACTTTTAATTCATGGAGAGGTTCCTCAACATTTTTGGGGAGATGCTCTTCTTATTGCATATTATCTCATTAATTGCATGTCTTCTTCGGTTTTAGATAATAAAATATCTCATTCCATTTTATTCCCTCATGAACCACTTCATCTTTTACCTCTGAGAGTTTTCGAGTCTACATGTTTTATTTATAATTTCAGTTCTGGTCTTGATAAGCTTTCTCCTAAATCACATAAATGTGTTTTCTTAGGGTTTACAAGATCACAAAAAGGGTACAAATGTTTTTCTCCTTCTCTTAACCGTTATTTTGTGTCTGCAGATGCCACCTTTGATGAATTGTCTCTTTATTTTAAAAGTCAATCTTCACTTCTGTCTCCATCCAATCTTGTCAACACTCCTAGTACATTTAATGTTCCTATTGTTTGTGACCCTCTAACTGTGTCTTCTTCATCATTAGTTCCTGCTCCATAGTCATCTTCTTCTCCACTGCCTCTTCAGATTTATAGTTATTGAAACCAATCACAACCACCACCATGTGACTCCACTCAAGTGTCAACTACTCTGTCTCTTTCGGATCTGACACATGAGTCTGACCTTCCCATTGTCCTCCGAAAAGGTATTCGTTCTACACGTAATCCCTTTCTCCATTATATTGCTTTGAGTTATCATTGACTGTCATTACCTTTTTATACATGTTTTTCCTCTATTTCTTCTGTGATCATTCCAAAAACTGTTTGTGAAGCTTTAGCCCATCCTGGTTGGCGTCAGACCATGTTAGATGAACTAAGTGCTCCACATGGGAATTGGTCCCGTTACCGTCTGGGAAATCTGTTGTTGGTTGCAGGTGGGTGTTTGCTATCAAAGTTGGATCTGATGGTACTATTGATCGCCTCAAAGCTCGTCTTGTAGCCAAATGTTATACTCAAATTTTTGGGTTGAATTATGGAGATACCTTTTCCCTTGTGGCAAAGATGACTTCTGTTCGTTTATTTATCGCCATGGCCGCTCTTCAACAATGACCTATGTATCAACTGGATGTTAAAAATATTTTCCTCAATGGTGATTTGCAAGAAGAAATCTATATGGAGCAACCTCCTGGGTTTGTTGCTCAGGGGGAGTATTCTGGAATGGTATGTCGTCTTCACAAATCCCTATATGGCCTAAAACAGTCTCCTAGGGCTTGATTTGGAAAGTTTAGAAAGGTTGTTCAACAATTTGGTATGACTCAATGTAAAGCAGATCATTCTGTCTTTTATCAACACTCGAGTGCTGGATGTGTTTACTTGATAATATATGTTGATGACATCATTTTTACAGGTAGTAACAACCATGACATCTCTCAGTTGAAATAACATCTCTGTCACCATTTTCAGACCAAAGATCTTGGCAAACTTAGATATTTCTTGGGTATTGAGGTGGCACAGTCCAATGATAGTATTGTTATATCTCAGAGGAAGTATGTCATAGATATTTTGGAGGAAACTGGGTTGATGATTTCAAAGTTTGTTGATACACCCATGGATCCCAATACTAAACTTATACCAAATCAGGGAGAGTCTATATCTGATCCTGAGCAGTATAGAAGATTGGTTGGAAAATTGAATTATCTTATAGTTACTCGTCCTGACATTTCCTTTGCAGTCAGTGTGGTAAGTCAATTTCTTAATTCACCATGTGAAGATCATTGAAATGCAATCATTCGTATCTTGAAGTATATTAAAAGATCTCCTGAAAAAGGATGGTTATATGGTTCTAATAACCATACAAGAGTTGTTTGCTACTTAGATGCTGATTGAGCAGGATCTCCTTCGGATAGAAGATCTACATCTGGATATTGTGTCTCCATTGGTGGTAACTTGATCTCATGGAAAAGTAAGAAACAAAGTGTTGTGGCAAGATCCAGTGCAAAAGCAGAATATAGAGTTATGACCTCAACTGCCTGTGAACTTGTTTAGCTCAAGCAATTGCTTAGAGAGTTACAATTTGGAGATGTCACTCAAATGACACTTGTGTGTGACAATCAGGTTGCTCTTCATATTAGTTCTAATCTTGTCTTTCATGAGAGGACCAAATACATTGAGATTGACTGTCATTTCATTCGAGAAAAGACTGGGTTTGTTAACTCAAGTGATTAGTTAGCAGATATTTTTACTAAATTTTTACGGAGGCCTATAATTGATTATATTTGTAACAAGCTTGATACATACGATTTGTATGCTCCAGTTTGAGGGGGAGTGTTAGATATTGTTTAGATATAGTTTGATATTGTTAACCACAATATCAAACAATATCTTCTGTTTATTCTGTATACTTTCGATTACTCTTTTAGTTATACCTCTCTATTATAAATAGATTACCCTATGTATGATTTATACACAAGGAAGATTAATTTCAAATCTTATTTCCTCTATATTCAACAACACAAATATAAACACATTGATTCTTTATGTTGGATAAAAAAATTACTATCTTGATTTTTTATTAAATTTATTTAAAAACAAATCAGTTTACTTTAAAATAATTTAAACCAAAACATTTTAGAAAACCAATTTTATTAGCAAACAATGTTACAAATATTCATCCAAAATATAATGAGACACAATTATCAATTTGGTTGAATTTAAAACCAAATTTCTGCTAGCATAAGAATCAATCAAGTTTACTAATTTCTTAATTTTTCAATTCAAATTATATATAACTTTTCCCCTCTATAGCACAAGTTTGCTACTCTAGTTTTAACTTTTATTTATTTATCAAAGCTTGATCGTTTTTTATAATAGTTTATACCTTATTCACTTTATTTTTGGAGATTTTTTTTATATGTTAATATATCTATATCAATATATAATAGGATATCAACACATTTTATCTTTTTATTACATAATAAATATGCTTTTTGAGTTTATAATTTCATAAATATGCAATTTTGTTTTTTACAGAAATTTAGTTACATATTTAGTTCTTTAATTTTGTAAAATTTAGCCATTATAGTCTAAGGTAATATATTAATTTCTATAATATTAGGAATAAATAATAGTAATTTTAAATTCCAATGGAATAAAAAATAAAAAATGGTAAAATTAAAAATAAAACTGATTCATTTAACCTGTAACAAATATATATTTAAATCTTAAAATAATTACAAAAAATACCCAAATAATTTTGATTGAATAATGGAGCAATGGATGTAACCGTATAAACGAACAAAGGTAGGGTTCTTATCTCCCAATTTCCAATTCCCATTTCCCAGATATGTGTTGTGAAGATATGAATTTGATCGATTAACAGAACAGAACAGAGAGTGTCGAGAAGATGTCAAGCCCATTAGAGAGATACCAGAAACTTGGCTTAAGAGAGGCTCTACAAAAAAATTACAGATACCCAATCGCCTGCAAAGAGCTAAGCTTTATCCTCAGAGAAGCTTTTCATCAAAGTCCCAAAAATTTGCAATCTATCATCTTCCAAGACACCCTCTTCGCCTTTCGTCTCTTCCCAGAGTATGCATTTTAATCGTCATAATTATTGAGTTGTTTTGTTAATCAAATTCGCAGCACATGATTTTAAATGTTAATCTAATCATTTGGAATTGTGATAACTGCTGTCAATTGTCATGTGTGGTTTTTATTCTTTAGTCAACGATTATTATTTGAAGACCATGGTTACCATACATTGGAGTGCCTTTTTCTTCTTATAGAAATTTTCGCGAGATTTCTGGAAAATGTAGTAATTTTACAACCGAGATGTGTGAATAGTTTCGTTCGTCTTACAACTTATTACCTTTTGTTTTTGATTCTGAAAGTGTCAATCACAGTGCTAGTGCTAGGGCCATATATTTTCTTTGAGCTGAAAGCTTTTTATTCCGTCTGATACATCTCTACGCACTCTTTGTACTCCAAATGAACAATGTTTTAAGCCTATTCTTCCCTGAAAGAGAAGAAACATATTACATATGGAAATTCTATGTGAAGAAAGGTGAAAGTGGTGGTAAGGGTGGTGTGAATAGGTTAGGGTAGTTTCCACTGACATCCAACCAACGCAATGCAATTGCTAGTGTAAGTTGGCTGGTAAACTGTAAAAGTATCAAACTGTTAATTGCAACCATATCTTGCTTTGTCACGTGAATTAGAATCAGATTTGAAATCTGTATTGGAGAATTTTCATTTACCAATGGAAGATATTTCTAATGATATAGATATTGACCTTGCTTATTTTAACTTATCCATAAACTCTTACAGGAAAAAAAAATATGAAAGTAAAATGAATTGAGTTTTTTCCGTAAGCTAACATTAACTTTTGTACTTCAAGATAAGTTAATTGAAAGAACTTTTTTAAAAGTTAGTGTATGGGAGAAACTCAATTAATTCTACTTTAAAAAAAAAAAAAGTAATTATGGATAAATTTATTTAAAGAGGCCATCCATAAAACTGAGAAGTGTGATTTTTGTCTTTTGTAACGGGAGCAAGTGATTGTTACTAACTTTAATCAATTTTAACTTTATATTAAATTATTAATTAAGCATCTAGCTGTTGTCTTCATGGACCACTTTGCCTCATTATTATTTTTTTCTAATTTTAGAATAGAGACTAGGAGTGCTGCTTCAGCTGTCCACTACCTCCTTCAGAGTGTAGAAGCATCACTACCAAATCGAAAAAAGAATGTGGCTGTAACAGAATTTAAACATGCAATGGTTTCTCATAAGAGGCGCAGTAAAGCTACCCTGGTAGAGAAAGGTCAAATTCTAAATAAGAATAAGAAATGGCCTTGTTATTTTTTGAAGGCAAAGTCATCATGTTTAAGAAGTTTCTTTTTCCTGTATTGCAGATTCACTGCAACTTCCACAAGATATTCTCGTGCACGTTTTCAGTTTTCTTGATATGAAATCTTTGGTTTCAGTGGGACTAGTCTGCCGGTAATGATTTCTTTCTTTTTATGGTCATCATTTTTACATTGCATGAAGCCATCAATGTTCTTGGGGATGTGAAATACAAGCACCTTTCATATTTTTTCCACATTGGACTGTTCGTTAAAATTGTCAAGAATATTGTTAAATATCAATACCAAAATAAATTCCCCGGTGACTCATGGACGTTGCATATTTAGGTCTTGGAAGGTAGCCGCAAATGATAACCATCTGTGGCGGATTCAGTATGCCATACTGTACGGTAATGGTGCTAAACTGAAGTATTTGAAACTGGTTGAAGGGAAGAACTATAGGTTTTTGCAGGAAACCATAGATAATAAACTTATTACTGACTGGAAAGGAAGTGTTAAAGGAGCATACACTGGTAAGCTGAATATTGATGAAATGTACACTAACAGTTTGTTTTTTCACATCCAATATTTTTGTAAAAAATTGGAATAAAAGTATACTCTAGTGAGCCTATGAAACTATGATGCACATTTATTATCTTTTACTTTGATATTAGATTCCTAGCTGTGTGTAAGTCAATATATATTGAGGTGATAATTGCTAACCATAACATTTAGTTGGTTATCTGATTTGTATTATGATGTTAAAAGCTAGATTTTTTCAGTATTTTTGTTTTCATTTTTTCCAAAGCACATGGGGGATGGAACTAAAAGTTTATTCTTCATTTCAATTGTTTTGGGAACCGCATTACAGCTTTAGAAACTGTTAGGAGCATTGAATATCGTATTAGTTATCTATTAAATTTTTGTGCTTTAAATACAGTATTCTCTCTCTGGCAGGTAGAGAAACACGCATGTATGCATTTTGCACATTCAATTTTCTCTTCTGTCTTAATTAGTTGATTCGATATAGGAGCATTATCTACTATATTAACAACCAACCGGGGATATTGTGGACACTGCAAATCAGTAGTATGGCTAAATAACACAAGATGCCCCAATGTACACTCTGGAATATCTGAAGTTCAAGAAATCAAGCCTGTAACAGCATTCCAGGTCATTCGTCCTAGTATTTTTTTTTCTTTACTTTGTGTCTGGATCCTCTGAGAGTTACTTACTTGAAGGGCTAATGATGGGTGAGAAAAGCAGTGCCCTTCACAAGGAAAGGCTCCCTTCACATCTGAAGAAAATCATCTGTGTGTGTGTGTGTGTTAAAGCGTACTTTTATCACACTAGATTGCGTTTTTATTTATCTCCAGCAGTCGTTCAAAATAATGTACTGAAGGAACTGAACTAAATGTAGTTTAGACTAACTGTGTAGTCTTCCTAATTTCAGGTTGTGGAATATGTTGTGGATGATTCTCTGTCCATAACATCTTCCTCAGACAGTGACAGTGATTCGGAAGAAGGACCAATTTCGAAGTTATGGGCATATCGGAAGTTCAGGAAGTAATAGTGTCCTTTTATTTAAGAGAAACATTAAGATATTTCTCTGTAATCATTTATAGGAAAAGTAAGATTAGAGAAGCCAATATGGTAACAGATTTTCTTGGCCTCTGTGATTCCTGCCTATGTACTGCACATACTCTTCTCTTGGTGGGTGCTCATCTATTTTGCTTAGAGATGCTATGGGGTTTGTATTGTTCCTTTGTAATTTTTTGGGTTAAGTCCTCTAAGTAAGATTTATATAAATATTAATTAATGTAGTATGATATAATTGACAAATAATTTTATTACTCAAGTATGTTGTGAGAGATTCAATTGTATTAACTGATAAAGGAGAATGTTTGATAATAAAATGTTGAAAAGTTTGTTATTAACATTGCATTAGAAAAAGGGAGATACTTTAGAGCATCTCATTTGTGATAAAGCAAAGTTGTAGTATTGGGATGCTGGAAGAAGCGTCTGAGTCGTGTCCTTGAGAAAAAGAGGAAGGTACTTATGAGTACCTTATTCGAAATAAACGCTTTTCAATTAACATGCATGGTTCAAGTGAAGTGTCTGTTTCGAACCCGGCACCTATGAATAGGTAACTAATGATTAACCATTAAACCAGGCTAGACAGACAACTAAATTATAATAGTTATTAATTTTATATCTATAGTTGCATCGTTATGTGAATATATGAATAAATAAGAGTAATATAAACTTAAAAGATAGCATGGGTTACAGTTTTAAATTAAGGAAATAATTGTCTTATTACAATGTTTCTTAAATAATTGAAAAAAAAATTATATTAAAAAAGGGTCGTATAAAAAAAATAAAATTGTTTTAAGATAAGAAATGAGATGTTATTTTAAGTACATCATGCTTTTGCATCAAGGTCATTTGATTCAGTTTCAGTTTGACGTCTGTACAATAGCTAAAATGTAAAAAGTAAAATATGTTTTTTTTTAATATATCATAAATGTTTATTATTATTTTATCTGTTTTTTAAGTTCTTTAAAATTACAAATGTGTTATATTATTATTAATGGAGTTGAAGTACATTAATAACTTATAAAAATATTTGTGTTTATTATTTAAAATTTTATTATTTTTCTAAAATTATAAATGTTATCCTTCTTGACAAAGTTAATATTTTCAATAACTTTTAATATTTAATTAATTGATATTTAAAATAATTAGGATCTTAGTACAAGATGTTACTACTAATGCTTATAAGTTAATGATTGTTTAATGTGTTATAATTAAATAAGTATTATTTGATTTTGTTTATTGGTCAACAATAATTTATGTCAATTGTCATATTTGAAGATTATAATAGAATAATTAACTTAAAGAAATAGTTATCATTAACTTAATTGTATAAGTAGTGATATGAGATATTAAAGATGAGTATTCAACAATACTTTAATATTGGTAACTTATGGAGTTTTTATTGGTAACTAACTAAATTAACATGTTAACAACGAGACTTTATATAATATCAAAATTTACTATTATAATGTTGTTTTACGTTTAGTTATTAAGTTTTTTAATAGAAAAAAATTAAATAATATATAAACAATTTAAAAAAATTTATTTTAAAATATAATAATATTATAATATATAATAAATATAATTCTTATCTTATTAAAAAATTAAGTTCAGTATTCAACAATTTTTTTAAATTATAATAATAAAATTACATAATATTAATAAAAATATTGACTAAATAACTTAAAATTATGTAATTATAAAATTAGACAATATAAATACTTAAAAGAAAAAAAAAGGTTTAAGAGCTACTTACATAATATAATCCCCTATCCTTATTCAAAATTGGATGATCCTGTGTTGCAATCTTAAAATTTAAGTATTAAAATAATAATGATAATAATATATATTTTGAATGATCAAAATTATAAAAAAAATACAGAGAAAAACAAATTATAATTTTACAAGAAAGAAAACTGTTTTTATCTAAGTATAACGTGTAATCACAATTGTTCAAAAATAAAATATAAGATAAACTTACAACTAATAGATTTATGCTAAACTGAATAAGATTTGATTAATTTTCATAATAACTTTTTAAAAAAAATTTAATTATTGTTTTAATTTATAAAATGAATGATTTTTTTTGTAAATTATTATTTTTCAATTTATTATCTATCATCTAAAATTAGTATTCAATATTAATGTAGTCTTTTTTTAATATTTTTTGTTAGTTTCTTTTAATTTTGTATTACTGATACTTTTAGTATTATCTTAATACATTATTTTTGAAAATAAATTATCACTATCTCTAATTAAATTATATAATGGAACATTGATGTAATAATATATATATATATATATATATATATATATATATATATATATATATCAAGTTACATAATTTAACATTGTTAATAAAAAATAATATTAAATTATTTAAAAACAAGATTAAATGAGTAAAAATTAAACAAAGTTTAAATAATAATATAACGAAAAACCTATATAGTTTATTTTTCTTCTATAATAACAAATATTTACTTACGAGCTAAAATTTGTTTAGTAACGTTACTTATTTTAAATAATATTTATCTTGAAAATTCTATTTAAATATACAAAGTATAATTTAAAATATATCAATTGTATGTTATTTTTAATGATAAACAAATTTAAATCAGTTTTATTTTAAAAAATATTTAATTTTTATAATTAAAGAACTAATATACTCATTAGATACATACATGTAAAGGACATTACATTATTCTTAATTTTGTTATAATAAACGAAATCAAATCTAATTTTAATGTACTATTACACAATCTATTTAAAAATATGCAAAAAATATAACTAAAAATACTTTTTTATCATTAATTAAAAGTATTTTAAATTTATAGCTTGTAAGAATAAGTATTTGTATATAGATGGCATTTTTTTATTTTTATTTTTTAACAAAATTACACTTTTTGTTTTCCTATAATAAAAGAGTTAGTTCCTTTAAAAAGAGATGTTACTCTAATATAGTTCACTTCGGATATATCTTTGTTTTCAACTGTAAAAAATTGAAGAGCAAAAATACTAAAAAAAAAAAAAAAAAAAGGAAATATCCGAGCAATCATACTTTCCGTGCTCTACAGCGAAGAAAGAAAATAACACAAAGCAAATAATAAATTATGTGTAATATTTTCCCCCTCTTTAATCCAAACAAAAACTGTTACAATGATTACAGTCATCTACTGGGAAAATACGAATGTCTGGTTTCTGACCCCTCAGTTGATGTTGCCTAATAAATCATATCATAAGAGCAGACTCGAATAAATTCCACCCTAATATTTCAATATCAAAAAAATTAAATAATAAATAAAAATATGTTAAATCATTGTATTGTATTACAACTCTAGGATTTTGTCAGTTGAAGGATAGAATTTTAAAGAATAATTAACGTCTTGAATAATAGTTATAATTCATTAAAAGTTTTATTTATTTTTTTTATGTGCCTCTTTTTTAGCGATAATCTTAAACTGAAATATCTAATATTTGTAACTAACATTTTTAATAGGTTACAGAACTCTTTACAACGTGAATGAATCAATTAAAATTAAAAAAAAAAAAAAAAGTTAAACAAGGCGAGAATAATGACAAAAGTGCACCCAACATTTTCATTTTCTTTCTGGCAGACCTGCAAATAAATGTGCATATCCCCGAAAATACAATCATGGATAGCAAAAAATCAATCAATGACCAGCATGCATTTCAATTCAGTCAAATCCACCTTATATTTAAATTTCATTATCACCTATCTCAAGTAAGGAATTTTTGTAAGGGACCAACCAAAGAATTAAATAAACAAAAGCCACAAATATAAAAAGGCAAATAAAACCATGGTGCTCTGACATTTAATTTAAGGCTACTCATAAATGGTCCAAGATAATCCTACAAAATAATTAAAGCCAAGGTGGATTTTTATTCCTCAAACTAAACTATATTTCTCTCAATTAATTAAAAGAGGAAGAGGGGTACATTCAAGACTTAGAAACTTTATCTGCATAAAACAAAGACGTCCACAGTAGACAATAACACGGCAGATAATGTATTCTAATCCTTTTTGAATCCTGCTATTGGTATCTGGCTCAAAACCTTAGCATCAAACACTGCATACTGCTTTTTTATCTCAATCATTGCCTTCTCACCAATTGCATCAACCTGGTCTTCATATTTCTCATACAGCAGTGGCAATGTGAACAGTGACAAATAGACTGTATCTCACCAAATGGATTCAGTGTTAGGAGAATACCATCACAATGGTCTTTTAAGCACAGAACATAAAGACACTTAACAAGGAGAAGAATTAATGGAAGTAATGCATGAAGTCTTACATAGATAAAACAAGGTCAAGAAGTTGAACCAGCCCCCAATGACCGAGATAACCCATAATACAGCAATAACCTGGGGACGCGTCAAAAAACATCTTAGTGTAGCTATAATTGCTATTGTCAGCAGCACGAAGTCTGTAGCAAGGCAAACGTAACACTGGATTCACATTAGAACGAAGGGAGAAATCAACTTACGCTCAGAAACTTCTTTAAATCTCTCCCAGTTCCAATTTCCCGCAAAACAACGAGGCCTCGGTTTAGTTCAATTCTTATAGCAGAAGCAGCCTCAAGAACGCAATGCTCTGGAATTACTATTTGTGGGATGTGCTGTGGAGACCTAGTTGAGAAAATTTCAAAGGCCGAATGGAAGTGCACAAATTAAGATAGAAGATATAATGGTTTACTAATAGTTGTCAGTTGTGTATATGATATTCCCATAAAACCCGGAGTGATAACGTAACACGTTAAGAGAATATCCCTGATTGTTTTGCCACCCATATTTTTAAGAGGGACACTAAACTAACTCGACGAACACAGCATAAATATAAGCATTTCCAAAGGCTTACTTGTGGATAAAGACAGATGCATTGGACCACAAGAAAAGTGCAGCGAGGGACAAAATCAACAAATGGCAAATAAAAGTTATCAGGTGGTATTCCATCATCTCAAAGAAAACCCAAAAGACAGTTCCAGCTCCAACTACAATTCCTGTGCTTCTCCTGTTCCTCCAAAGCAAAATATCAGCAGCTGCAAAGGGACACATGTAATGCAACAAAACGATTAGAAGAACTGGATTTATTACAAAAAATAATTAGATTTTTCTTATCAGGAGGAAATTGTTCTACGCAAAGTTGACGGATAAATTCGAAATTAATCCCTCTCCCATTTCAGTTGTGTCCTGCTTCGCACAATACAGTAGGCTATCAAAAGCCAACGTCATATTGCAGCAATAACGAATGCTGAGGCAAAATGTAAAAAGATGTCTCAAACAACCTTCAACAAGAGATTGCATGGAACATAAGAAATTCACCATGCCAGCAATATCTTGTTTCTCTCTAACTATAATATACCAAAAAAATGTCATCAAGCAAAATTCCTGATTTCATCGTTATAGTTGTTACTTTTTGCACTCCCTTAACAAGCAAATTTATTCCAACAGTTTCGGAAAAAAAAAAAAAAACGCCCTAGCTTTCATCAAAGTCCAATTGATAAAAAAAATACATTGAAATATTATGTTACTGAATGCAAAATGTGGTTTTATAAACATAAAATGAAGTTAAAGTCTAAATTCATCTAACTATTACAAAAAGTCAATGATGTTAAGTTATATATAACAATTTAATAATTAGATTATAGTTTACAGGGTTAATATCTTTTAATTAGTTAAATTAAAAAAAAATAGTTTATTAAATTGGTTTTACTGTAACCTAAATCAAACATCCGTAAATATCTAGTCTAATCTAATCTAACAGTAATTAACGTTTATGCCTCCCGGGAAATGATCAAATTAATATCAAATGCGATTAACAGGACAATGCCACCATCAATAAGAAAACGACACCGTCATGCATCCTTTTAATGCTGGTCTCAGATCATAAATGACTCTGGTAGCCAGAGTTTTCCATCCCAGGCGTATATTCGCCAATCAAACACAAAACACGCGCGATGAATGACAGTAAATAACGCAGGAAGATAATAAGGAGAAATGCAAAGAAAAAGAATGAATGCAAATTACGTTTACCACCGCCGAGGACCATGTGGACGGGCTGATCACGGCCGAAGAGGCGGTAAACGTTGGATCCGGAGGTCTTGATCGGCGGCCTCTTGACATGATCGTCGTCGGAATCGGAGTAGGATTCGGAATCGGAGTTATGATCATGGAACTTGTCATCCATCTTTTCGACGAAGGAATCCGTGTCCTCTAACGCCATGGATGTGAGAATAATGGAAGTGAGGAAGGAAGGAAGGAGTGGGCGAGAGAGAAAGAGAGAAGAGAGTTTCACTGAACCGCCTCTAATTATATTTCGCGGGTTGTTTAGCCCGAGCCTAAAGCTCGGAATGGTGGTTAGGAATAAATAACGGAAATATTCCACTTCACTTGAACCTCTATACAAATATCACTGAACACGCCTTAGTTTTTATAGCGTGAATTCATTTTTTAATTTCACACACTTCTTTAATTAAATATCTCATAAATATATAATGTTGTATTATTAATTACTAGTTCAATTATTAAAATATACTCTAAGTAATAAGTCCTATACTATTTTTGCCACGTAACAAAATTTAAGAAATAAAATAGTTCATTTAAAAATACAATACTAAATTATCATTTTCTTAACGTTACTTCTATCATTTTAATTGGGTTGGACGATTTAAGAATCTATTATCAATTTAACTCTAAATAATTTTGTTAATACTTTTACAATTGGTTTTAGAGACGAGCAAATTGCAAATTATGGGGACAAGAATGATTTCGCGTATTAGTATCAAATAAAAAAAAAAAGTATCAAATAAATATAAAAATAAAAACTAAGTTGTTTCTCATGTGTATATAAAATATAGGATTGAGTACATTTTTTTTTCATTCCTACTAGTATCATGATAGTAAGAAAATGAGGTGAAAGGAGAGAGAATAAAAAATGTTATATTAAATAGAGACAATTGTGTTAAATTATTATTACATTAATATATAACATTGTTATTGTTAAATTGCTTGATCCGATACTGAAAAATTCATTACAGACATTGAAAATTAAAATGGCGATACAAGAATAATCCTTTTAGAGTTTTGAATTTTTACGATCATAGATAAACTATAGACTTTATAAAATATATTCACGCTAAAATTAATTAATTAGGTTAAATTTATGTTTATAGATAATCAGTGAACAGATTCTGATATATGTCAAACAGTAAGATATTTAGTATTTCTCATATAGTTTTGAAAAATTTATTTTACGTATAGTTTTGAATAAAAACGTCTAAGATAAGCTTATCTAAAAATATTAATTTTTTATTAAATAAAATTAATTAAATAAAAAATTAAAAATATAATTTTGGAAAAATTATACGGCAGTACACGTGGTCTATTATGACAAAAATTATTATATTATTTTCTTATTTTTCTATCCTAAAATCATTTATAAGAAATTTTTATCAAATAATTTATTATGTTCATATTACTAGAAAAAAAAAGGAAGAAACTAAAAAACAACATTATAAATAACAAACATGAAAGTTATTTTTAACTTGAAATTATCATATATTTTCAAGAATCAAATAGAACATTCTATCACATTAGAATGGAGATAGAAAGATAAATTAATAATCATTTTATATTTTTGCATTTTTACAATTGAAGGATAAATATAGACATTATAAAAATTGTTGAATCCTAACTTTATATATATATATATATATATATATATATATATATATATATATATATATATATAATTGTAGCCATTTTTATTTAAGAATTAATCATAAACATGACAACAAGTATGAACTTGTGTGATGCCACTGTGATAAAAAAGAAAAAAAAGAAGAAGAAAGAGAGTAGATAGAGACTACTTACCTTTATCAATAAACGAAAAGAAACTAAATATAGATAAAAACCATAAGAAACATGAACTTTTGTGTAAAATGAAGATAATTATATAAAAGGTTTGAGGGAAAATATACCTTTAGCTGATTGGAGTGAAAATATAGGTTTAGCTTTAGCTTTATCTTTAACCTTACCCATAGATGATTGCTGGAGAAATCAATTGAATTTTTTGATCTTTCAAGTTTTCATACACAATATAATCCCTCTGAATGAGTATAGGCACTATTTTCTTTTCTTAGCCCTTAATTACTTTGTTTTTTCTATCATTATTTTCTTATATTAATTTGAGTTTAAATAAACGCATGCATCATTTATAAAAAGGATTTATTATGTCAACTAATGTTTTTTATATCTCAAATCATATATTTATTTCAGTTTAAATAACGCATGCACTGTTCAGATTTTTATGGAGCATATTCTAAGTCCCAACCTATGGACTCGTTCTCTCTCCTTGTTTAGTTATTTTTACATAATCAATGAAGGATCAAATTTAATTTTATTTTTATAATAAAAGCATCTCAATATTAATCATACCGACTTCAAACCGAATTTGAATAAAAATCATTTTTTTCAACCAGAGGAAAGGAACACTAACTCAGATAAACTTATGTTGTTCCAAGTTGCATATTTTTTATATAAGTCTGAGTCTCAAATAAACTCTTATATTTTATCAAATAATTATTTATTTTTCTTATCAAATCTTATGTTCTGGGCCTGAATTTAAATTTCATGTAATGGCAACAAACGATGGGCTGAGTTTAAAGGGAACAAGATCCCTTGGAGGCCCAAAATTTCTAAACTACCGTGTACTTAATGAAAAAGAAAACACTAATGTGGATATGACTAAAAGCACAGAATTGGAAGCCATTTTTCGTTTCAGTCTCCAAATGTTGCAAAAAAGTTTAGAAAACTGGTTACCCAGAATGAAAATAACAAATAATAATATTTCAAAAATATTATTCGGACACATATATTTTCATTCATAAAACAAACACTCTCTTACCACAAAAACTTGCCCTATGACTTACAATTTAAGTTCAAATAAAACTCTTTGACAATCTAATTAGCCCTTGCCAACTCAAAAGCATAGAATCCTCAACTAAATTATATATTTAAAAGAAAACAAATTAAAAGACAGGGTCATTAATACCGATATAACTATATTGTCATACACACTAGAATAAAAAATCTTGGAAAACTACATATAACTGGTATTTTAATATTGCAATGCACTTCATAAATATTTATTTAAATAATTTCATGATTGTATTTAATTAAATAATTTTTAATATTGCAATGCACTTCATGAATATTTGTATTTAATTAAATAATTTTTAATATTAATTATATTAATTGTATTTTCATGATGTACCTTTTAACAATTCACAGTTTCATTTAAAAAATATTAAAATTTTGGCATAAAAAAATATACAAATGATTGTTTAAAAAATATTCTACTTCATTTTCACTTCGAAAAAAATTTAAATTTAGTAGAATAGTGAGTTTCAATCAATGAAATGAAATATATTAAATGTGTGCGAATTTCAAATTTAAATTTCATAAATTTAATATAGGTAAAACGTGAAGAATGATACACTAAAGTGAAAAAATATTTGTAACCGTAATTAGAAGGTACAAAATATGGTCTTCATATGTCTCCATGAATAATATAAAAAAATTTATGTGCCTGTGTTTCACTATTATGATAGTGCAATTTGCGTTGTTTAGCAAAATGACAAATGTTATAAGGAGAGGGATTTACAGAATAAAGGATATTATTGGGAAATAATACGAAAAATAGAGTTAGAGACATGACATAATCCATGATGCCAAAGAGAAGTATATTTGAGTTTCGTAGTAGTGGTATGAGCAGAAATAAGATGATGGTTGTAATAAGAGTGAGACAGATTTAACACATACAATCCTTAGTGCAACCTAACCAAATCAATCATCCTCTAAGAGATTTACTGCAAAATAATATAAGAGTTAGATTAAAAAATGAGACGACAGTGCAAAGTTTGGATCAATTTTTGAACAGAAACCAGATTTACATGAAAATTAGTAACCAAAAGAATGTCCTGAAGAATTAAGGAATCTGACAACATAACGGTACCAGATATTCAAGTGGAAACTTGGACAACATTTGACAAAGTAATGAAAATAGGTAAAATAGATTTATGAGTGACAAAAATGTGAAAATCAAAAGTGATATGATCAGTGACTCCTGTATCTAGAAGTCACTAAGGAGATATCTTACCTGAAAGAATAGAAAGAGTTTTAGGAATAGGGGAAGAAGAACTAACCCAAGGAGTGAACACCGAAGTTTTTGTATGCGCAGGAGATTCTAACCGAAGTAGTGAACACCGAAGTTGTTGTGTACGCAGGAGATACCAACTGAAGGAGTGAACACCGAAGTTGTTGTATGCACAGTAGATTTGGATTGTTGCGGAGTTAGAATGTCATGATACTACTCTTCAGTAAATTTAGGCATTGGCCATGTGATTTCGTAAATGTTAGAGACGTTGGTAGTAATAGAGTCAGATGGAAAAGCACTAGAGGCAGCATTAGTAGAAAACTATGTCTAAAATAACACATATCTACTGCGTGATTTGTGCGTTCACAATAAGTGCAGAATTTATTACCATAAGAACTTCTTCCTCCGTTATTTCTATCACGACCCCTTAGAAAGGAATGACCTCTGTCTCGTCCTTTATAAAAAAGATTCGAGTTAGAAACATCATCATTCTTAGATTGTAAATTTGAAGAAGTAGTAGCAGTTATGACTTGTGAATCAAGAACAGTTTCAAAAGAATTAAGAACAAAATGTGATTGACGTTCTTGCTGGATAACTATGTTAAAAACTTGGGTAATATCGGGAAGAAGATCGATTAACATAATCTAAGATCGTATGGAGGCATACTAATCATTGAGGCGTTTCTGAATTCGAATGATATGATCTTGTTGTTTATAGCGTCGGGAAGAATCAAGAGCATCACAAGAATATTTGATAGTACATATGCAGTTAACAAAGGAACAAAAACTATTAATTCTGTTACACAAAGAGTACCTTGATGTAGTTTGTATAAATCTTCCTATAAATCTGTAATACGAAAAATATCTCCTTGATGAAACCGATGGTATAAATCTTGCCAAAAGTCAAAAGCATGTTCAATATAGAGAATGAATTTAAGAATGATTTCATGCACTGACAGTTGGATCTAAGAAATAATCATTATGTTGCAACGATCTTAAGGTTCGTAAAAAGGATTAGTTAATTGTAATTTGGAGAGTGTCATTGACGAATTTCAACTTATTCTTGGATTTGAGCCCAAGTTTCATGGCATGGGCCAAAATGTGATGATTATTGTCATCCAAAAAGGTGGAGATAAGAATGAGAGTAAAATTTTCATTGGAAAAAAGAAAGAAGAGATTTAAGGAATTAGTATGAAAGTCAATATAAAGGTCAGATGTCATAGGAACAGAGGAAGAAATTAAGAAATAATATCTAATAACATCTTATTGTTCATATATATACATGAAATCCATATGTTTTTATTAAAAATTTCTCACTCTAAAAATGAGTATAAACAGTATATATATATAAAATTAAACTTTTTGTTATATTAGAGAATGAATTTAAAGAAATGAAAAAGAATAAATTTAAAGAAAAAAAATGAAAAGTGTGATTATTTGGATTAGAAAAAATATGCAAAGAAGTATAGAAAAATTTATAAAATTTTGTGAATAGTTTTATTAATATAAATGATAAAAAAATATTTTATTAAAAAATATAAAATATCCAAATTACCTTTTAAATAAAAAATATTATTATTATAATTTTAAATATTATAATTATTTAAACTATTTTTACTTTTATTTAAAATAATTATCAATATTAATATTAAGAAAATAAATTCTATTATTATTATTAAAAATCGATTATTTTATTTAATAATAATATAAAAAATCAATTTAATAAAGAATCAAATTATCACGTATAAATAATTGTATAAAATTATAACAAATGATATATATATTTTTTTCATTTCTTCATCTACATGCAAAAACTCCATTCAATCCTTTCCTTAAGTTTACTCTTTCAAATTCTCGCATATGATTTAAAACAAAAAAACAAACACGGGTAAAACAAAAGTGGTCAACTTAGACTGAGGAGGATTTACCATTTTCATCTTGCTTTTTGACTGTCATCTTCAATGCCTGCACTGTTGCCATATATAAGCTCTCTCAACACCTTTTCCTCGCAATGCAGGACACCTATTCATTAATATACTGAAGTTTTGTTTATATTTTTCTGGAATGATTCAAATAATATAAAGTTTTTTCAGCGGAGTTATTTAGTGATACTCATCGTTCCCATTTTGATGCAGACTATTAGAATGGTAAGAACTAAACGAAGAGATAAATATGAAAATAAAAAGGATAGAAAGAAAAATTATATATATAATAAATAATGAAAAAACAAAGTTTATTAGGTTCTGAAGTAAGGCTTAATTATTAAGGTTTTGAACAGTCAAAGTTTATTAGGTGTGTGTAGGCAAGTTACCTTAGTTTTTAATTGTTCTTTGAAAAATTCATGGTGTCAGCTGATTCCCTGGAATAAAATTAAGTTTACCTGTCGTGAAACAGTGAAAAAAACATGAGCTTTTATTGGCTTGTCTTGTTGGTTGGATAAGTAGGAGAGTTTATGTGAAGCTTTTGCTGATGCTATATAGTTTGTGTTGTGAGAGAAAATTAAGAAATTTCCAACGACCTCTGGAGTAATGTGGTGAGTCTAACATATTGGTCATCCATCAAAGAAGACAACAATGGAGTTAAAATTTGTTTCTTTTCAATTGTTGTAGCTTTTGATTTAATCACAATAGGATCTTCAATGGCTTAGTCTGTTACCTTTCTGTGCACAATTTGGTGTCTGCTTAATTTAAAATGACACAAATAAAATTTGAATTTTAAATGTGATGCAAATTATTATAGTGGTTGTTCCATCTATTTGCTATTGGTCGGTTTTGTAGTTTTAATGCAAATAAGAATTTTTAAATAAAAACAAACAGATATTTTCCAGCTGTGCTGCCTTTGAGGCTAAAAATCAAGACTTAAATTAGTTCATCTGTGTTATTCATGTATCTTCCAAAATCTCCACAGTTCCTCCGTTCATATGATTCAATTTTCTCTGCAAGCCATTTTGTAACAGTTACCATGCATCACTTGTCCATGTTCATCTGAAATCACTAATGCAATTTGATTTAATCTAAATGAAAAAGGGCATGGTATTCAGTCCTCACAGTATCTGGTCAAAGTAGCTTACTATGGAATACGCAGAATATTATACCTATATTTTCCTTTCTATATTATGCAAAGACATGAATTTTTCTACAATACTTGGCAAGCTTCCAATTTCTTATTTTAGTTTGGTGCTGAAAACCACACAAAACTTTATGGTTGAAAATCCTGTTCTTGCCCCCACGAGTATGGAGCAAGAAGACCCCACTTAGAAATTTCTGCAAGGAAGAATCATTTGACCAGTTGATCTAATTGTTATTGTCCTAATAGCGACAGAAAGTGCCACCCCCAACCACTGGAACAGAACCAACACAAAGTGTCACACTAGCAACCATCAATGTGAACAAGAAATTAAGAATTTGGAACAATGCTAAACTTTGCAAATTCAAATTGAGTGTTTGCATTCAAATTTAACCGATTTAACTTAACTTCTACGATCGCCCGATTGGAAAAATGCCAAATACAATTTTGTACGCATGTGTGTCCTAGATAAGGTGCAAGTTGCAAAGTTCATTGTAGGTACAGAAAGTGACTCAGAGAGGTTAATTTTCTGCGTACTGAATAAATAAAATAAAAGAATAAATCACTGAAGAAAACAGAACAGCAAACAAAATGTCCTAATGATATCATATCATAATATATAGTATGGTTAAAAAACACGTTAGAACTTCATAGACTCAGCAATAAATTCTGGCGAAGTAAGAGGAATCAATCTCATGTCGTGCAAGCCATAAACCAGACAGGTTTCTTTTTGAAATTGGCAAGAGGTGAGGGGATAAGGAAAAATAAAACTTTTTATTTAACATCACACAATCTGACCCTGTAGATACACTTCCTTGTTCTTATCTAATTCTAATACCATCATGCATATATACTTTTTAAACTGCTACAAGTCAAATGAATATCAGAATATCTCCCTCAAGTATTAGAATCTTATGGATGATTACATTCTTTTCCTCTTTATTGAGTCTGAACCTTTGTAACCAAAAACTTAGTTTTTTGATATTTATAAATACATCTTTCCAGGTTAGGTGTCACTATATATCTAGATTCTGGCTCAGAACCTTTGAAACTTGAAAGGTACCTTTCAAATGTGAATTTGAGTTCGGTTGTTGTTTTGGCTTGTTTGTAGTGTAGGTCGTGTGACTGTGTAAAAGACTGATAAACAGTTAAGGTAGTGATTTTCCGTTGTCACTGATCAGAGAGAATCTCCAGGAAAAAAACTTGGCAATTTGAAGGGGAGGACCACAAAATATTCCATACCACGCAAGATCAGCATATTTTCCCTAAGTATACACACATAATAAAACTTTTTTGGGTTATGATATGTAGGATAATAGTGATGCATTCAGGTCCATACAATGATACAATGCATTCAAATTTTGTTTTACTTTATCGTTTCTTTTGCTATACCAAAAACATTATTTATTGGTTATACATGATACCATCATTTTCATCTTTCACTTTCTGGAATTTTTTTTCTCCCTTTTCTCAGTTAATGATTGATGTTGAGGACTAATTATAATAAGAGATTTTGTAGATACTTTCAATTTTTTTATGTTCACTAAATTTTGTCTCTAATTGGATTAAACAGTGACTAAACAGCTAATGACCCCTACTAGATACGGGACCAAGTCTAAGAAATCCCTTAGAATTTGCCAAGCATTGGAAAACAATTATTAACTATTTCAAGATGTAATAATTTGAGGCAGGTATGGAGGATATATATAAAGTAGGCCTTGATGCTTGAACATTGTTTTCATTAGCTGTGGTGTTCAAATTGATTTGGAAATGTGCTCAAAATAGTCCTACATAACATCAGTACTTTGGGAGGTAGGTTAAGTATTCCAACTTAAGACCCACTAACTATGTTTCTGCTAATTAAATAAGGAATGATGTTCTACCTAGTTAGAGACAATTCCTTTGAACTGACATTTCTATGGGCATAATTCGTGGACACGAAATTCATTCAAGTCCAAGTATTCATAATTTTATTCTGCCAAAATCCACATTTGTAGCTGATTAGTTTATTTATAAATATTCTTTTGAGTCATGCATTTCCCCCTTCAAATTTTCTGACCTTTTGTAATCATTTTTGTAACCAATAAAAAAAGAAGAGTGCGAGAGTAGCCAAACGGAGTTTACAAGTCAAACCTTTTGAAGCAAAAGACTTGGACCCTTGTGCTCATTCAATTGCACAAAGACTTGGACCTCTTCAAACATAGGTGTAGTCACTTAGGATGGGGTCCTAAAAGCAGCAGAACATGCGTGCTCTAGCTTTGCACCTAATGACTTTGCCTTGTAAAAGAACCCAATTTTCTGACTTGCACCAGCTCTTTTTAATTGGTCTCTCTGTAAAGAAAGAAAGGTAAAGCAGTTGATAGCCCTTACGTTTCCTTTGCTCTGCATTTCTCTCTTTTTTATGACCCTTTCTTTTTAACCCTTTTCTCTTTCGTTCTTCCCTTCTTTCTATCCTCCTTCTTTTCCTTTTCCTTTTCTTCCCCCTCAACCTTTTTGGAAGTTTCCTATCACCATCCCTCCACCCTCTTCATCTCAAATGGCATCTGCTGCATGCACTATAAGACCCACACTCCTATCCCCTACTCTCAATCTTTTTCTAATTCCTTCCTCAATTAAATACAGAAAAAAAAATCAATAATCAGAAGAATCTCCATGTTGTTGTTCATCATTTCATTATAATTAGAACTTACCTACCATATTCCCGTACATCCTTGAATGGAAATTACCAGTAGAGTAGCCGAATAAATTAAACAAACGGTTTGACCACAAATGTTAAATGATCTTATAATCATTCAAAATCTAAAAGAATAGGCACCCATTTTAACTGAAGTGCTTGGCTTAGTTTGTATTTGTGGACCTATGCCTTCGTATAAATAAAACAACCTATGTTTAAAATCTTAATCCAAAAATGGCATTATATAGCATAGCCAGAAGTAGAATATACAATGGCAGAGATGGTATTTGATGATTCATTGTGGTGGGATCAGAAGTGGGCCAAACAAATCTCAGTTTTCAAATTTACCTGTGGAACTCTGATGAAAGACTGAAACGCTTCGTTCATGACTCTGTACGAGTCCAAGGACTTAGGTCAGAGGCACTGTACAATACTCAGTGCCTTTTTCCAATTTTTTATTTTTCGTCTAATCTCTCTCCCCCACATGCTCACAAACAAAACAATCAATTTTAAGAAACATAAAATAAAAGAGAGGAGGAAAATGAAAACAAAAAGCAAAACGTTTCTCTCCAAAAAGCAAAAGCTAAACCCCTCTGATTCCCGAAGAAAGCACCGTATTCAATGCTTACACAAGCGCCATTAAACGAAGTGAAAAGCTAAACCCTCTTCTCTCTCCCTCCCCCTCTCTCAAACACTTATTTTATTTTGTTCATTCATCTTACTGTCCCTATAAAATCCAAAACTCAACTCCACCTCAAAACAGAACACAACACACTTCCTAGTTCCACCTCTTAGATTCTTCTTTCATGGACGCTCTGAACTTCCTCAAGTTCTGGAGACACGCTACCATGACCACTACCTCCGAACCCCACCTTGTGGTGGAAACCGACACCGAATCCGACGAAGACGACTCCTTCTTCGACTTGGAGCTCACGCTACCCGATTTCGACTACAAAGAAAACAACACCACTAGCAAAAACGACGACGATCCAAAACAAACGACGACAACAACAACAACCGAACTAAAACGTCTTCCCTCTAAGGAGGAACCCATCAAAACAGAAAACGGTGTTCCGTTCAAATCCACTCTTCCTCTGTCTCCTCCCGAACCTATCTCCAAACGTAAGGTCCTCCCAATCGAGCCTATATCCAAACCTCAATCTCCCATTGCGCTTCTCAGGTCCGCTCCGAGCTTCAGAATCTTCATGTTCCGAAAGCGAAACAGAACTCCTCCGCAGAAAACAGAGCACTCTGCAAACGAGGCCAAGGTCTTCGCGGTGAAGCTCAGCGTCGATGATTTTCGATCCTCTCCCGCCCTCAGTAGGGATAACAGCACGAGAAGTTTCGGGAGCAAGCTTCGGGGTTTCAGCTACGAGGAACCGAAACCGGAGCGGTTTTCGAAGGAGGTATTGCGGAAGTACCTAAAGCTTATCAAGCCTCTATATGTGAAAGTCTCGAAGAGGTATAGTGATAAAGGCAAATTCTCAGGCGAGGGTTACGCCGCTTCACCGTCGTCTTCGCCGTCGGCGTCATCTGTTTCTTCTAGGGTGGACAAACAGGTGAAGGGGATGAGGGTTGTTTCGAAGCATTTGGGGAAGAGTCGGTCGGCATCGTCCGCGGTGGCCGGAATTGGTTCTCCGGCGAAAAAGAGCGACGATACGCTGCTGCTGCAGCATGATGGGATTCAAAGCGCCATCCTTCATTGCAAAAGGTCCTTTAACTGGAGAGGTAATTTTCCGTTGACCATTGTTAAAGTTTTGCTTAAATTGGGTATGTTGTTATGAATTATGAGCTTAACGTAGTTTTAAATTTTTGCAGAAGGATCAATGTATTCGGTGAGAAACTCATTTGACGGTGAACGCGGTGCAAAAGAGTAATTTTGAGGACGTTGTTGTGGTGAAAGAGAAGATAAAATGTGTAGTTTTGTATTTGTAGTGTATTTGTAAAGAAAGAAAAGTTTCCATAGAGAAGGGGAGAGGGGTGGGATAGATGTGATGATTAGGTAGTGTTGGAGGCTCCCCTGTGTAAATTAATGGGGCATTATGAAAAGAATCAAAGGGATCTTCTACTGTATCTCTGTCTGTCTGTGCTCTGGAGTGTGTGGATTCACCACTTTGCACTCTGCTTGAGGTTTATTTCATCTTGATTTGATGCCATCAAATGATTCAAGCCAATTGCATTTTCTGATTATTGACGTGACTTCCATCTCAATTCTAGTTCCCTTCATTTCACTTTTCTTCCTTTTCCCTAATGATGACGGAGAATATTAGACGAGAGAACGGTTTTCTGTAATACATTTCAGACATGAATGAGTTGATTTTCCTCAATAATCAGTGCATCTATCTAAATCGAAATCGCCTAAAATATGTTTTTTGTAAACTTTAAGTATTTTCTATGGAGGACTACATACTTTTTCCATTGGCTACAACAGATGGTTGTGATCATTGTTATCTAGTAGTGGCCACAGCATTTTTTTGGCATTTGGTATGAAATAGTGGCGTAGTGTATTGACTGAAAGTAATGTTGAGAAATGTCAGAGGATGGGATTGGATAGATGAATACGCATTGAAAGCAGGAGCAATGAATGCCACAAAAACTAGTTCCTACCAGGATGTATTCTCTCTGTTCTAATCTTCAATAAAATCAAATTCAAATTAGAAACAATGTTATTTAGATGCGTATTTAAATGGTAATGATTACTAGTAATTTTGCACTGTATTTGCCTGGTAAAAAAAGGTTAACTTATCTGGTTGGTATGGTCAAATATGCACGGATTTTGATTTGACTAATTTGAATTGTATATATATATATATATATATATATATATATATATATATATATATATATATATATATATATATATATATTACTTATTTTAAGTCAGATTGTTGATTGTTATTTTTAAATCTACCCATGCTAATTTTATTTTTTTTAGTAGAGACTGATCGAACTATCTATACATAAAAAATAAAAAAAGTTTGCTTTAAAATATTGAGAAATTTCATCACAATTTACGACAAATAAAATGCTAAAACATCTCTCACTAAAATTAAAATCATTTGAAAAGGTTTTCATAAATATAATATATTATTATAATATAAATTATATAAAAATAGTTTAAAATAAATAAAAATATTTACCTTTTTTACATAATTTTATAGTAAAGTTTATAGTACAGTATATATATATATATTTTATACATAAAATTTACTATTATAAATATCATTTACCTATAAATCTCCCGAAATTTATTTTAGTTAAAGGTTATAACACTTATAAAGCAATCTTTTGATATTACAAAATCACAAATTTCTATTACAGAATAAAGAAAAAAAATCACTTTAGAGATTCAGAAAAAGTTATTTAATTATCATATTTAAATATTTTATCATTACAATAAACAATAGTTGATATTTAATACGTTCTTTATACATATATAACTTTTATTATTACATAAATTACAAATAACTAATTAGACTTAAATGATTACATAAAATTTATAATTTTAAAAAAATTAGAATTTAATTTTGATTTAACATGTGTAGGTAAATATTCCCATCTAAAGTACATAATCATTTAATAATGAATAAACTTTACATATACTTTTAATTCAACCTATTACTCCTCTTTTCTTAATATAAGATATAATTTATAGAAAAAAAGAAGGATGATATTTTTCCAAAAGACATTTTCTAATATATATGAAGTATTGGACTTTACTTTTTATTTATATTAAATATTAAGAATATATATTTTGTATTAATAAATAATGATAAGAAAAATTTTAAAATTGGTACATTGCTTGTATTTTATTTAAAAATTCAACAGAATTAATCAAAATTTAACAAAATAAAGTAAAACTAATTACTTTTGTTGGTATGTGTGATTATGTAAGAAATATCATATGTTAAAGATATATGTAATAGTTTTTAATTTTTAACTTTCAAAATTTTAATAAAAACTCAACAAATAAAGTAAGTATTTCACACATGTAGTTAAAAAAGTGAAGTTCCGAAAACTAATTTTCTTTTTTCATTTTTATAACATTATATACAATATTATAGTTACATTTGTTTCCAATTTTTTTTAGTTCTTCTCTAGATATTAAATAGAGTTTAGTACGCACCAACCTTCTCCCCAAACAAGTAGAACAATTAATGTGATCACGTAGAGAGAAAGTTTAGAATTATTCCCAAAACCGAGTTCAAAGTCCAAACTTGTGCTCCTGCGTGTACAACTATGATGTCAGTTTGGGTCCAGCAATGTTGCTGATTTATCTGAAATTAACACATGATAAATACGGATGCATTCTAAATTAGTCCAGAATATCTTTGTTATATGTCCGATGAAAAATTAATTTTAAATAGTTTTATTTATTTAATGCTTTTTTATAAAATAATGTTTTTTTAATGGGAAAATATAATAAGAAGACATAATATTATTGATCAAATATTAGAGTTGTTCGTTTACTCAGACACTGATATTTGTGCGAAAGATAAATACTATGTTTAATTTTCGGACTTTATGTTTGCATATCTTATACACCATATGCTGTATAAATTGAGCACACTGAAGCTTTGAATTAACTCCATCTGAAATAAAATATAACCAATAAAAATTTTAATTTTAATTTTATTATAGAATCAATCTAATTAATATTATTATTTAAAAAGTGTTTTCATCTTTTTAAGTTTAATAATCATAGTATTTTTATCTTTAATTTTAATAATCATATTATTATAAAAAGATTATTCAACAGTTGAAAAATAAACATGATTTTATAATTATCATTGCTATAGTATGGTTTGAAGGTTATAATTAAAATTGATGAAAATGTAAATTATCCATACGATAGTTATAAATATAATTATTGTTATATATTATTTATTAAAATTCTTGTTTTGTTGTATAAGATTTTGTTTTGGCGCAATAAATTCATAAAATTTTACTATTTTCTTATACGTAGTATATTTCTATAGTAGATTTTTTTTTCGAAATAGATTTATTTTTTTGGAATAGATTTAAAAGGTTTTATTGTTATATTACATGTCATATATCTCTAGTTAATTTAATAAATTTGTGATAAAAGGGATGCTTCCCAAAAAAAAGAGAAACAGATAGTTGAATAAAGAAAGTTGAGGGAGAGAGGGAGAAAATACAACTTATCGCATAATTTTAGTTAAATATTATAAGTTACCCATTTAGAAAGAGAAAAGAAGAAGAAATGAAAGAATGAATTATAAAAGATAAATATTAAGAGACATATGACACGATTCTTTTATAAACATCATATTACATTAAACAATAATTATTAAAAAACCGTTATTAAAAGATTAAATATATAACTATGATTCTTTTGTTAACTAACAGTCATATATATCACAACGATAATTATAATTAAAATCATCGTATCAAGCTAATTATTTATATAACCATCGTTAAAACCTCTTTTGTTATTTTTGTATTAGTGTCATTTTAAATAAATATAATTAAAGGTAATTTAGGATTTTTCTGTGTGAAAATAAAAAATTAACATCAACTTAAACTAGAGATATTACTTTATGAAGAAGAGTTAGGTCCACGTTAATTATATGAATACTGATTGAAGGGGGAGAGAAAAAAACAAGGTAAAAGAAATTATTATCTCGATACATAAAACAAAAATAAAGAAATTCCCCCATTATTTGTTTAAATAAATAACATAATTTAAAAGAAAATCAATGTTGCAGTGAATTGAGACCTTATGTAAAGTCATGATCTTTAGATAAATCCAATGTAACGAAAGTTTGTAGTTTAAAAAAATACCAAGTTAAAAACCTACGTTTTTAATATTTGATTTATTTTTATAATGGTTGATTTTATATTTAAAATAAATTAGGAGATAAAATGAAAAAAACAAAAGTTATTTAAAAAATAGTTTGATAATATTTAGTCATATATATATCCAAAGGATAAGTGAATATGTAGGCATAGATAAACAGAAACATAGTGTGGTTGCATGATTGTGTGTTTGAATTAAGCAATGAACTGGGGTTTGGGTGGTAATGCTATATATGTAGAACAGCATTCACACTGCTACTGGTATGACATGATTAGCTAGACTGCAGATTCAACTGAAAAATCTGAGACAGTGTGGAGGTTGGATGATACGAGATCTTGATGGTTGAATTGTGTTTGTGGGTGAGAAAAAGAGTGTTTTGTAATTGCATAGAGGTCAAAAATGTGTATTGAGGAGTAGGGCTTTTGCCGTGTACAAGTATTGCAAATTTCTAAGGCATCATTAATGACAAGAGAAATATGCCAGAAATAACCAAACCTGGCCCCCTCATACTATACTACACTTCAAAGTGCGCCACAATAGTAGATTTCCCTTACTCAACTGCACAACCCACAACTGGTCCCTCTGTGCCACATTTTGGTTTGGTTTGGTTCTTCACTATCTGGTGCTAAGCAGTGCAGATAAAAAGAAGCGGTTCATTTGCATTAAAATATATTAAACTATGATATGACAATTATTTATCTGTAGAGAGAACTCATAGTGCGTGCAATATCTAATTGATTTGATCTAGTGCAATTTAGTTTCAAAATATAATTTATCAAAAGTCTATCTTTACATGTAAGACACAATAGATATCTGTTATATACATTTTTTTTTTCAAATTTGATACTATTAAGTCTGAGCAGCACTTTCTATATGAAAAAAAGCTAAAAAGAAAAACATGGTTCTGGCTATTCCACGTCAATGGTTGAACAAGATAGGCAAACAAAATGGCCGATAAGTTATGCGGGAGATGATGCGATGCTTCATTGTCTGCTTGAAACTCACATAGATAGAATACAGCACAAAAACCTAAGCTAGGTTCTAAGAACCATTTGA